GTAGGGGTGAGAGGCAGAGTGTTAGGAGCCAAGACCTTGTTGGCCAGAGCGGGGAAGCTAGAGAGAAAGAGAAAAGGCCTGGCCCCAGCAGTCCCCATGCTGCCCATGTGCAAATGCCCATGAGATGATAGGAATAGCCAGAGCTACTCTCAGGAAGCAGGGCCGGCCATCAGTATGTGGGGCCCAGGACCCTTAGTCAACAGATAATCATCCTGTACACACACACACACACACACACACACACACACACACACACGCTGTCAGCAGAGATATCTGACCCATTACACACACCTCACAAACATGCATACAAAGCACAGTTTTCATCCTGGGATACACACTGAGTGTGCCCATACACACAATCACGGCGTCTGTTGGTAAAAGCAAATAGCTCATCAGGCAGCTGCATTTGACACACATTTTCAGAGCACCTAAAGCACCAGAGTGCAGCACAGCACCAAGTACCATGGAAGGAGAGAAAAGTAACCAGCCAATAAAACCGCTATTACTACCACAAGCAGCCGAGTGCGGGCCTGCAGTGCCACCTACTGGCGGGAGGGGTGTTTGTACTTTGCTTGCAGAAGGTGAAACCAAGGACACTGCATCTCAGACACACCTAACCAGCCGCCAACTACAGGCGGCCATTCTCCCTCTTTGTATTCTGCCCAGGTGGGATGCGATCCCGGTCATCTCAGAGTCGAACTACAACATCTGAAAAGAAGCATTCAGGGCCTTGCATGCCCCATCCAAAGCAATATCCAAGGGGGATGGCAAAAATGCGTTTTCGACTTTCATGCCCACTCCAACCCACTGGTCGCTACTGCCAGGCGCGCTGGGTTGAGAAGGATTCTGAGGCCGAGTCTGGGCTCAGCGGAGGAGAGTATCACGATGGAACAGTGACAGCAACCATGGCTCCCACACGTGTCATTCTTGCCGCGGGTCCTGGAGCCTCCGTAAATCCCTAAATCGGCAGGTTCCTCCTGCAATTCCATCGTGAGGGTATGTGTGTTCTTGCCCACACCTCACAGCACAAGCATTGCCATTCCTCATTTCACTGCGTTTTCTCTCTCACTAGTCCAGTAACTCCTGAGCCAGCTAAAGCCCTCCCTGGGACTGTCCTTGTGAAGAGCTTGCCCTTGCTTCCCCCGAGAGCAGAGGATGCCCTGTGAGATCTGAGCACTGAAGTCAACAGTGGGCACTTCACTTTACCCAAAATTCCTCCATCTTCCGGCACTGATCATTCCCAAGTGGCCCCATGAGGGCAATCACAAATCAAGAACAACAAAACTACCCTGACAGATGCTAGACAGCTGGCTGGGCTTAGCCCTAGACGGGGGCGGGGGGACCCTGGTCCTGCCCCTCACCCATCAGCTTGGCAGGGCACACTTCGGTCAAATCTATGCATCAACCACATTTTGAATTACAACGGGCCAGGGGTCACTTGAAAGTAGTCAAACTTGAAATCTTGACTTCTCAGAGGACAAGGGTCTGTTGTGTCTAACATCGAGGTACTTAGCTAGTACCCATGAGACTCCACAGCCCCAACAATGCCCACAGGTGGGCACGTACCCCCACATGCTTTCCCCTGGGCAGCGGAGCCAGCCTCTGCCTCTGAGTGTTTAGGTGCATGAGAGCTGGTCTTTTCCACTGAAGAGCAGGCTGGGGGTGTTCGCCTTAGCCTGGGGGTCAGCAAACTTCCTCAGTAAAAGGCAAATAAATATTTTCAGCTCCACGCTCGCTGTTGAAATCATTCAGCTCTGCTGCTGTAGTGTGAAAGCAGCCGCTCATACACCTAAACAAATAGAAATGGCTGTGCTCTAGTGAAAGGTTTTTGTTGTTTAAAAAAAAACAAAACAAACATGTAGTGGGCTCTCTTTGGCCCAAGGAGCCATGGTTTACCAACCCTGCATTAGCCCAATTCAGGGTCTTCACACTGGGTTCCTCAGAACTGGGGGGTTGTTTGAGGTCCTCCAAGGGCTCTGCCAATGTTTGGCTTTAATATCAATTCTTCTTAGCTATTTAGGAAGCTATAACCAAAATGTACCCACTCCAGTGTATTAAGCATTTTAACATGCAGGAGACCAATATATTAAAGGACTGTCAGGTGAACTCCTCTGTTATGAAGCTTCTATTGCCCTCTCTATGCACATGTAAGGGCCATGGGGCAAAACGGCTCAGAGCCCGGGCCCCGATGTCAGCCTGAGTCCCGTGCTGCCGCTCACTAGCTATGTGACTGGGCAGGTCGCTTTCCTTCTCTAAACCGGCCCGGGCGCCACCAAGCGGCGCACTGGCCATCGCGCTGGAGGCGCCTCCAGACGCCTCCTAAGCCCCTTTCACTGGATCGTGGGAACAGGGAGCAGTCACAGTGGAGGGGCCAGGACAACAGGCCACTCAGGGGCACCCAGGGAACCCGGCCAGAGCTCTTTACCACGGCCACGGACACATTTCTGTATTTTAAGCACCAGTTTGTCTGGACTGGTGCATGCCAGCTGAATGTCATTACAATGCCAGATCCATCCTGGGTTTGAACTTCTTGTTGGGTTTGCTGTCTCCTGGCATTTCTGCTATGTCCCCACCTTCTGATGGGGTTCTCAGGAAGGGGAGGGGGCTGTTTGGCAATGATCTTAGCGGTCTCAGTGCTTAGTAACAGGGCTTCTGTTTTTCTGCTAAGTGGCAGTTTCCAACGGGCCTGGCATTTTGTTGGCAAGCATTTCCCGGGCAAGTTCTGCAGGACTTGCTGGGCTGAGGTGCTTTTGGCAACAGGGGGCCAGCATGCCAGGAGCTGTGGTCTCTGTGCCTCCCCCCCACCCCCTGCCCCATGAGCTGCAGAACAGGCTGGGCCTGCGGCTTTGGTGCTCACCTGGCTTTTTAATTTGCCTGCTGAATGCTCGCTCCTTCTCACCTGCGAAACAATCAGGTGTGTCTGGCTGCTGCCCGAGGCTGCCCTGCCCTCAGAACGTCTGGCCTTTTATTCCAGCCTCTGAAAGCTCTCTCTCCAGGCCTGAGATGCTCATTTATGGTTGCAGTAATAGAATTTGGACCCGACTGTCTCTCGCTGCCCACGGCTGCTATGTCTATTAATGGTGGCTCCTGTGAAATCCAGGCTTTTACTGCACCTTATCTTTCGCTTCCAGCATCCTATTTTCCTGCTTAGAAGGAAAACAGACCTAGAAGAATCATTGGTGTGTATCATTAGGTCCTGGGGGCAGGACTTCTTGGCTCCCAGAATCCCTGGGGTTTATCTTAATTAGGTGACATCTGGTGCTGCCTTCACAGTGCACATGTCCACCCTGGTCACGCAGCCTAACGCCTGCTGGATCTGGGGCGCTGGAGGCTCATCCAAGGGGGTGATTCTGACCCGAGGGGTGGTGAGCAGATGTTTCTGTGGTTCAGCCAAGGTCAAAGGTGACTTGGGTTGAGCTCACTGACCTCCTCCTTCCCTCTTAGGTCTCACGGTATCCATGGCTGGGCTTGGAGCATGGGTAGAGGAAGAAGCTCACAACCAAACGCTCTGCCCTGAGGCCTCCTCTGTTGCCCAAAAAGGTCCTGACTGCATGAAAATGAACTCGTGCAAAGACGTCTTCACCCCCTGCCCTTCCCCTGGTAAGGCGGTCAGTGCTGGGCATCTGCCCGGAGCACTCGGCACAGCCTGGCCCTTCGCCCGCAGGACCAGCCTCTAGGAGCCGACAGCAAAAGCTCAGCCGAGCACTTCGATTCTGGCCCAAACTGTTGCTCCATTACAGAGCCATCTTTCTGCAGCTACTGCCCGCCCAGCATTCCCCAGAATCTGTGCCCATTCAGACCCTGAGCTGAGTCCTCAAAAGGACAAAGGTCAGGCCCCTGGTGGCTCTTCACTCCTTTCTCCTGCCCCCACAAGTGTTCCAGTTCTCCACACACACCCAAGGCTCCTGCCCACTTTGCTGGTACCTTTGGCTTTCTTCACAAAGTGCTTGCTCACAGCTAGGACTGCCCCCCAGGAGCCGGGCAAGCAGCCCCCCATACAGACGTCTGCTCACACCTCTGGGTCTTCCTGAGGGGCCAGCCATTGGTGCCACCACCCCTGCAGAGAGCATGGCTGGTCACAGGGAGGAGGCTGCCACCAGGCAGTGAGAATTCTACCCTGGAAGTGGTGACGAAGGGGCTGCAGGGGCTGCTGCAAGGGTGGAGGTTCACAGGTGTACCTCAGAGGGCATCCCTTGCACAGCATCCCAGTGACGGGGAGCTCATTACCTCCACTCACACTCCCATAGCAGGGGAATCTTCCAGTGCAATTTCAGCTCCCTCCCCTCTAACGGGTCACTGCCGCAGGCCAGACCTCCTCACACATCCCACATCATCTCAGCCTGGACAGCCTCCCGCTTCAGCCTCTGAGCTCTCTTCCCCTGGGCCCACACAGTAAACCCCAATACTCCCCCTACTGGCAGGGCTGCTTGGCGACACCGCAGGATACAATAATGGAGGGAGTGAGGTGAAGGGGTTGGCAGGCGGGAACAGCTGAACTTTGCCTAAGAGCAAAAGCAGAGGAAGCAGTGGGCAGGCGGCTACTAAAGCGGCTCCCCAGGAAGTGCCTGCAGTGCCCCCTGCTGGCCACACCAGAGTGTGCATGCAGGTTTAATTCACTCCCCCATTCCTCTCCCAGATGGGGCAGGCCTGGCAGCTGCCCCTGATGACTCAGATTAGAGGATCCTCGGCAGCAAATGGGTCATCCTGTCCAGTGGTTTCCAAATGTGTAAAGTTATAGGTAGGGTTGCTGTGGACAATTGTGCATTTTGCCCAGTTGACAAAGGCCTCTGGGCTGAGGAGCCAGTGGGGGCCGACATTCCGCTTATATCCCGCTAATGTAACTGTGCACCCCCACGTGGGTGTGGCCAGCCCAGAGGAAGGGCCTTCTTTTCCTAATTCATTGTAGCCTCCTTCCATAATCCGCGCAAAGGGGTGTGCAGACCAGTGGCAGCCCTGGCACAGAATGCTTCCTTTAAAGAGGGCAACCCTAGAAAACCAAGTTCTTTAGCTGAAGGCGATTTTGAAAACCACCTAAAAGATGGGGAACCTGAGCCCCATGAAAGGGAGGGACTCGCTCAAAGTCATGCCGTTAATGCCAGGATCGAGCTTAGAGGCCAGATCTCTTCTCCCTCAAAGCAGAGTTCTTGGCACGACACCGAGCTGGTTTTCACCCCAAAGCCCTTTTGAGGCATCCTGGCTCCTCTGGCCCTTCATCAGCTCCCCCTGAAATCCAGCCACGGTCTTAGCTTCCTAGTCAGCATATGGCACAGTGTTGGCCCCAAGTGAGGGCTGGTGAGATGCCGGCCCAGTCTGCAGAGTTGCGTACCAGCGCCTCCCTCCCAGGGTGAGGGCAGACATGCAGCAAGGCAGTGCGGTGGGCCGAGAAGGGTCCAGTGGATGGCATGTGGGAGGGTGATAGGGAGCTGTGCCCGGAGCACTGAGGGCTCAGCTACTGTGCAGCTGGGGCCTGCTTCGCAGGCGCAGTCCGCCGGGGTGTCTGTGCCACACCGTAGGGCACATGGGCGGCCACTGTGCCCATCTCCTGAGCCCCAGCCACGTGGAACATCTGGTCATCAAAGAAGATGTGAGGGCGGATCTTCTCCAGGAGGGGGCCCTTGGGCGCGCCCGCAAGGAACAGGGCTTCATCTGTCTCCAGGCCCCAGCTGCGCAGGGTCTTGAGCGCCCGGGCCCCAGAACTGGCTGCACTGCGTGCCGTCACCAAGTAGGTGCGGATCGGGCACTCCAGCCGCAGGCCCTTGGAGTAGAATTTCTTCTGCAGCCTACCCAGGGCCTCCAGAAAGCCCTTTAGGGGTCCCTACGAGAAGGCAAGGGGAGACTGTGAGCTCACCCCTCTCCCAGACCTGGGCCCCCTCTCCAGCTGGGCTCCTCCCTGAAGCACTCGTGTCTTGATGTTTGGGGCGGGGAAGCTTCTCAGGTCCCCACAGCTCCCGGTCCTGCTATGCCTGCTCAGGCCACTGTGCGCATCAGTGGGACGGCAGGTACCTACGGCGGTGGCAGTGTGGGTATCTGTGCCACTGTGATTGGGGGTGACTGTGTCAGAAAAATGTGCCAGGAGAGCTGTTCCTATGTATGTCCTTCTGTGTGCCCCTCGGGTACATGGGTGTCTGTCCTACCGCTCCATAGTATGACCTTCTGTGCTCACCAGCAGGGAGGATATTAGAAATATTTAGCAACCACAGCCTGGGCACCCTCCAGGCAGAATGGAGTCCAGCTGCAAACAACATGGACAGACAGACCAACGTGCGGCTGGCTCGGGGCGCCATGCTCTGTGCCTCTAGGGCCAGGGAAAGGAAGTGCCGGGAACAATGCATGAGGACAGTGAATGAAGAACCAGCGGAAAAGGAAAAACGCACAGCAGCAGCTGGAAATAAGGACAGGGGGCTGCCAGTCCTGGAGCCCCCTTGCCTCTGGGTGGCTAGAGACAGCAGTGGTCTCCGGCTCTGCCTACCGCTCGGTGGGAAGACTGTCCTGCCCTGATTCCCAAGGGTTCCGGAGGGAACTGGTGAGAATGGAGGTGGGATGAATGTCCAGGGGCCACGGCTGGAGCCTGCTGAGCGGCCGGAGAGAGGGACTCTGGGATGATGTGGATTTTTGTTAAAAGTACAAAGAGGAGCTCCCAGGAGGACTAGGGAATCCCAACAGCTCTGGCCCCAAGGATTTCAACCAGGCTCTAAGACAGTGGTTCTCAACCTTCTGGCCCTTTAAATACAGTTCCTCATGTTGTGACCCAACCATAAAATTCTTTTCGTTGCTCCTTCATAACTGTAATGTTGCTATTGTTATGAATCGTAATGTAAATATCTGATATGCAGGATGGTCTTAGGCGACCCCTGTGAAAGGGTCGTTCGACCAACAAAGGAGTCGCGACCCTAGAGTCTAGGGCCTATTCTGCTCTCAGGGGGACACCTGAGCAGTTAGACAGTGAGTGAGGGTCCCTGAGCCCCTTGCCAAGGGATGGATAGCAGGAGGTGGTTAGGGCTGGTGTGGCCCAAAGCAGAGGGGCTGCTCCAGACCCTACACCCAGTGGATCTCCCTGGCCCAGTCCAGTGTTTCCTTTCCTCCAGTGAGGGGAGTAGGGGAACCTACTCAGAGGGGCGGGGGGACCTCAGAGAGAGAATGAGGGTTCCAGAGAGAGGATGGCGGAGTCAGAGGGAGAGGTGAGGCGTGCTGAGTGCGATGGGGACTTTAGAGGAGGGATGGAGACCTCAGAGAAGGGATGGGGACTTCCAGAAGGGGATGAAAACCTCAGCTACGAGCAGCAAAGGAGAGGTAGGGGCTCTGAGAGGGGCTTAGGGAGAGGATGGGGACTTCAAAAGGAGGATGGGACTGCAGTGAGGGGAAGAGGGGCTCAGTGGGAGGGTAGAACCTCACTGGGGGTGCCAGGGCTCAGGTGAGAGGGATGAAGGCTGGAGGCTCGGTGAGGGGACCTGGCTGGGTTCTGGGCCAAGCTCAGAGTTTGGTTCCAGCCCAGGGCGGGTTCTGCGGAGCCACCTGGCTCCGTTCAGGGGCTCGGGGGCGTTTGTGAAGCACCTGGGCCAAGGGTTTGTTCTCGTGGGCCTTCTCATGCTCGAAGAACCTGTCCAGCCCGTGGGCCTTGACGATGCGCTCCGACTCGTCCGAGAAGAGCACAGCGTCCCCGTCGAAGGCCACGCGCAGCTGGCTCTGGGACACAGCCATATCCCTGCTGGGGCTGAAGATGGTGGCGGCTGCGATCCCTGGGCAGAGAGAGGCGAAGGTTGTCTGCCTTTATCCTGGCAAGAGGGGCCCCCTGATGCCTGCCTCAGCTGCCTGGGGCCAGGAGAGAGCTAGCTCAAGCTATTCTTAAAAATATGTGTATATTGATTTCAGAGAGGAAGGGAGAGGGACAGAGGGATAGAAACATCAATGATGGGAATCACCCATCAGCTGCCTCCTGCACGCCCCCCTCCTGGGGATCGAGCCTACAACCCGGGCATCTGCCCCTGAGCAGAATCAAACCTGGGACCCTTCAGTCTGCAGGTTGACGCTTTAGCCACTGAGCCAAACCAGCTAGGGCAGCTCAAGCTATTCTTGTCCCACCTGCCTCTCCCAGGACTCAGAGCAAAGCTAAGGAGGGCTAACATTCAGAATACAGTGGGGCCTTGACTTACGAGTGTCCCGACTAACGAGTTTTTTGAGATGCCAGCTGTCTCTCCGAGATTTTTTGCATTGAGTTGATAGAATAATTTGAGTTAACGAGCTCCTTAACGAGCTCGGTCTCCGAACGAATTAAACTCGTAAGTCAAGGCCCCACTGTATTTAGCACCTGGCCAATCAGAATGGATGGTGGCCTTTGCTCTGAGGCCCTGGCCCGAGTCGAGTTTCCCTTTAGTTGCTGCTTTGTGGGAAGGTCTGGGGGAGTCCCAGGAAGCAGGGTGGGGCACTTAGAGGACTCAGGACAAGAGCCATTTATCAATCAGTGTGGAGGGATGGCAATGCTTTATTGTCTAGTAAGGTCATGCTGGTACGGACCATCGGAATGTCCTGGCTGGAAGGGAGGGTCCCCAGGCCACTGATATCCTTCCCGAAGTTATCCACAGCCCCTAATATAGGCCTACAGGGGGGCTGGGAAGGGGCCCTGCCTCTGGCTTGGCCTCGCTCTCTTGCTGTTGATTCCAGCAAGCCTCTCACCTGCTCTGAGGCAAGGTAAAATGAAGGATGTTTCAGCTCTGTTTGGGGCTGAGATCCCAGGCTGCCGTCGGGGGTGGAGTCGGGGTGGGCACCCTCTCAGTCTTCTGCCACAAGGGCACCCAGGTATGCCCTTCTCAAGGCAGCCTGGCCACTCTGGGTTCCTTGAAGCAACATGGGTGGCCATGAGAGGCAGCAATAATTCCAGGGACTGTGGCACAGACTGTCTGCAACCCTGGGCCTCTACAGAGGTCAAGGGTGCCTGTGGTAAACCCAGGCTCCAGGCTAGGGCTACACTGGACAAGGGAGCCAGTGCTAGAGGCTGGGGACCTGGTCAGCAGCTCAGCCCATTCCTTCTTCTTCATCCCTCCGAAGGCCACTCGGCCCTGCTCTTCAGGAATCTGGAATCACAGGGGCTGGGCTTGGGCAGAGATGTGGGAGAGGCGAGCAGTGTCAACTTTGCTAGCCTGAGGATATTATTTGTAGGGCCAGGCCCTGGGCATCGGGCCAGGCACCTACCCAGCTCTGCCAGTGATGGAGCCAAGATGAACCCGAACCACCCGACCCTGGGTAGGGCCTGCCCCTGCCACCCCTTGCTCTCCAGCCTGAGCTCAGATTGCAGACATAGAGAGGCACACATGCAGGCCCGTGTCAAGGCCCCGACCAGAGGGTGTGACATCTTTTTTTTTAGGGAAACAGCTTCTGGCTCCTGGTTAAAGAGAGCCTCCCAGAGGCCCAAGCAGCTCAGAGAGGAGGCGCCAGGGAGAGAGAGGCCAAGCTTCTAGGCAGGAGACAGCATGATGGGGAAGAGTGAATACACTGTTGGTTGATAAACCTTCCAGCAGTGCTGAGCCCGAGGAGCCCTCTCAGGAAATGGGGGCTGCCAGCCTGTTTTCTTCTATGTGCAACAGGAATACATACCCTGTTGGAGGACCAAGGCTGGGCCTACCACCCAACACTGACCCTTGAAAGAGACACATGGAGGGCAGTTCTCTTTGTCAGTACTTGTGGCTGGGTCTCCTGACCTCACTTCAGCTGCTGGAATGCTGGCCATTTCCCAGACCCCACTCATTGCCCACGCTGGACTAGATACTTATCTTCCTCCCCATTGGCCCAGACAGGGACAGAAGCTGCCCATGGTCACACAGGAATCAGAACTCCTACTAACCTGGAGGATTCCTAGAAGGGAGTAGCTTTCGGGGCTGAAAGGAGGGTTTCCATGGAAACAGAAGCCTGGGTGATGGTGGTGAGTAAAAGCATCCTTAACATGGTAGGGAGAGGGGTGGAAGAGTGGATTGTATGGGCAATAATGAATAGGGGGGCCTTGTTCTCAGATTTATTGGACAGGTCGTAGGAATTTCAAAAGGTACCCCTCTTCCAGTTACCATGGCAACCACTAGCACCTGCTCAGAGCTTTAGGATGAAGCCTAAAGGCCTTCCCTTCTGGGATCCCTTTGCCAGACTCCCCTTATTCTCCCTCCCCAGTTTGACTCACCTTGATCAATGGCTTCTCGAACTTTTTCTGCATCAGCTGACAAGTAGAGGTTGGTGTGATAGGCCTTGAGGTAGCAGATGGGGCTATTCCCACCTGTCATGCAGAACCTCTCGATGAACAAGTCTGGGGAGGAGATAGAGAATACTCCAGTGATGCTGGGTCAACCCTTAGGGCCTCAGAGTGGTCCCTCCATCTCCAATAGACACTGTCTTGGTTCTGAGTGATGGTGGGACAGTGGAGTGATTCTCTGAGTGATTTTAGGCCAGCAGTCCCCCTCTCTAAGCCCCTCCCTCCTTCATCCTTGAAATGAGGATGATCACCTCTGGAGCATTTGCCTGGCTCACAGTAACATCCTCTTGTCCAGGAGTCACAGTACTACACAAGGTGGATCCCTAGCCATGAGTGGCTCTCTTGGCCATAGCTGATTGGCTAGGAACAGACACCTGATCCAAGCTGAGCCAATCAGATTCTCTCACAGCCTGGGCTGATAGTCACCTGCACAGGTTGTAAAATATTTGCTAGTTGGTCAATGGCTGTTGCTCTGAGCCCATTGGGTTAGCGCCTAATTTAGCCCAACACTACCCGACCCCTCACGCAGAACAATCAGAATGAAGGGGTAATGCCGGGCACAGCAGGGATTCTTCTGGACGGGCTCTGTCACTACAGGTGCTGTCTATCCTGATTACTCGGTGAATACATCACAGGTGGTTAACTTTTGTTGTTAATCATTGCCCAAGGATATTTTCCCACTGATTTTTTTTTAGAGAGAGTGGAAGAGAGAGGGAAAGACAAAGAAACATCTATGTGAGAGAAACACATCAATTGGTTGCCTCCTGCACAGGATCAGGGGGAGGAACCTGCAACCAAGGTACATACCCTTGACCCGAATAGTCCCCAGTAGGAGGTGTGCAGGAGGCAGCTGATCGATATTTCTCTCTCATTGATATTTCTAACTCTCTATCTCTCTCCCTTCCTCTCTGTAAAAAATCAATAAAATATATTTAAAAATTTTTTTTTTAAAAAAACCAGACTTGTGTGTCTCAGTAATTCAGCACGGACCTATGGACCAAGAGGTCCCGGTTTGATTCCCGGTCATGGCACATGCCCGGTTTCAGGCTCTATCCCTCGTGAGAGTGTGTGGGAGGCAACTGATTGATGTTGCACTGTCACATCGATGTTTCTCTCTCTCTCTCAAAAAAAAAAAAATCAATAAAAAAATCTTTTAAAAAATGCCAACTGGACTCTCTTGGTTTCCTAAAACAAGGACTTGCAAACTTATAAATTTTGGCCATGTTCAGGGAAAGCAGAGAAGCCTTGTTTAAGGAGAAAAAGAGATAGGAGAGGGAAAAAAAAGAAGAACAAAGTAGAGAAGCAGATAAGGGCTCATATGGCCCAGAGAGAGAAGGGGCCCAGGAGAGATTTCCAGTTCTTGGAAGCAGGCCTTTCTGGCCCAATTTACTGCTTGTCCTGTGGTTCTAAGAGACACTCCTATAACCTGATAAAACATTCTTTTCAACTTAAACAAGCTCTGGAGGGTCAACTGCTTTCAATTAAGAATTAGAGGTGCGTGGGTGTGGGCTAGAAGGGGTCAATGGGGGAAACAGGGAGACATCTGTGATACTTTCAACAATAAAGATTGTTTAAGAAGAATTTGAATGAAGCCCCATTCACTCTGATGACTGCCTGTTTCTCCCAGCAGCCTTGTGAGACCTGTTCGCCCCACTGCAGATAGAGAAACTGAGGCTTAGGGGCAACATATGCCCTGCCCAATCACGTAGGGAGTGGGCCTGGGCGGTGGTGTGCTGGAGCTGGCTTATATTGGCTTGCAAGAACTGAATGTTAAACATCCTGGGATTTTTTTTTTGAGCCAGTTAGATTGTGAGCTGGTAGCTTGGAATAAGTCATAATAAGTGGAAATGTTTATATCCTGAAAACGGCAAAGCTACAATTTTTTTAAAGAGCCAGTTTACCAGTGCACCACTGGGTTTGGGGTTCTAGTTGGCATGCCCTTACCCGGCAGAGGTGTGGCCCCATCCCCAGGGGCATCCCATGGCCAGACCCCTCATGCTTACCATAGTGGTTGATGCTATTGATGAGACGGACACCCACTTGAGCGTGGTTGTTGGTCACGAGGACGATGTCGAAGATGTCCTCACTGTCGGGGTACAGTTCTCGAAGCTGCTTGTTCACCGCCTCCAGAGCCTGGATGGGAGGGGGGGCCTCCAGCTCAGACCCCCCCCCAGGAATTAATAGCTGGAGTTGGTAGCCAGGGTTGGGGAGGACGATGGGAGAGGAGAGGGGAGGTCAGGGGCCAGAGTTGGCGTGAGATCAGTGGGCATGGACTTTCTCCGCCTCATCTGTGCCATTGGGCGGGTTGATTATTGCTCAGGGCTGCCTCACTGGAAGCATGAGTGGAGGCTGAAATCCAGCCCATGCTCCACTCACCAAGATGGTTCATTACCTGGTGTGGGGCTGCCTTAGTCCAGAGTATGGGGTGGCCTCTTCCCACAATGGCTCTGGCCCTAGCCAAGCCGTGCTCCTGTGGGGTAGCATCCTCCCAGAGGGCCCTTTCTCCTTACTCAAACACCCATGCAAGTGCTTTTTCCTTACCACCACCACCACCCCCCACAACCAGGAGTGGACTGCCGCTCACCTTAACAAAGGGGAAGGCCGGCCCGGGGCTGAATGGTTCATTCTCGTGTTGCAGCTGGTAGCGCACGTACTCCTCCACGCCTTGCTCCATGTAGATCCGCTGCTCCTCGTCCATGCGGAACAAGGCTCGGGAGGACACAGCAATGGTGACTGCATTCTGAGGCTTGGGCTGCAGAGGTGCAGGAGAAAGACCATCACTTCCACTTCCCTGAGGTGGGTCTCATGGGCCAGCCCCTCTGAGTCCTGGGGCAGGGAGAAGACCAGGCCCAGCCTCTGCTAGGAGGCTTAGTATTGGGCAGAGGCAGACCTAGGACAGGACCTCCTCTGTGAAGAACCCAGCTGGGGACTGAGGAAGATGAAGGCTCCCCACCAAGAAGCAGAGCTATGCCCTAGGGGAGTCTGCAATCTAGCCAGCCACCTGGACACAACAGATGAGTGAATACAATGTATGGAGCCAGAGTATGACCGATGCTCAACATGGTCTTCAGATGGTTTCCATTATAAAATGAGAGCTACATGCCCTTAGGAGGAAACGTACTTAGAAACATGACAACTATACAAGAACATTTGTCTCCAGCCCAGATCTTTCTCCAGCTCCAGACTCATGTATCTAACTGTCCCTGTTGACTAACAGACACTCAAACTCAACATGCCCAAAGCTGAATTCCCACAACTGTCTCCACCCCTAAACCCGGACTCCTCCCTCCTTCCTCAGCTCACTGCTGAGCGCCACCATGCACTCCTCACCTCAACCAGAAGCCCCAAATTCAATGCAGGTCTTCCCTCTTCCTCGGCTCCCTTTCCCCACCAACACCTGTGAGCGCCACTAGAATCCATCCACTTTGTCTTCCCTACCATAGTCCAGTCCATCAATATCTCTCCTCTCCTCCAATCTGTCATCCATATGGTTGTCATAGGGATCTTCTCAAGTTCAAATCTGATCACGTCCCCCTCCCTTTCAGTGGTTGCCCACGTTTCTCAGGCTCTAGTTGTTAGCTTTTGGTATGGAGTAGGAAGCGCTTCATAACAGACTCCCTGCCTCGCTCTCTGCGCTCACCGTCCCATGACCCCACTTTGCTCAGGCTGAACTCTCTCATGTGTGAGTGAGCACACCTTCCACTCTTTCTCTGAGCCTTTGCACATGCTGTTTCCCTTCCTGATCTACTCTTTGCCCGACTCTCCACCCAGCTAACTTCTGCCCAACCTTTGGGTCTCAAACGATATGTCACCTCTAGGAAGCCTTCCGTCACCCTTAGTTATGGGTTTGCCACCCCTTCTGTTTCCTTTTTCTTCCCTATTTTCCTATTTTCTTTTAGTAAAATTTAACAATACATTATAATTACTTGTTTCTACTTCCAGACAAAGTTCTAGAGAGGAAGTAGGGACAATGTCTAAGTTCTGAGGGAAGAGGAACTGTGACTATTTTGTTCATTTACTGTATCTCTATTGCTTAGAACTGTACCTAGCACATAGTAGGTGCCCAGTTAATTTTTAATGCTTCTAAGCTTTTAAATAACATATTTTATTGGGAAACATTATTTGCCATGACAAAATTTAACATGAACCAGAAACTTCAGTTCAGTGTCCTAATCTGTTCAGGTTGCTCAATATATTAGGTACTCAGAGAATATTTTTTTGATTGATGCCAATTGGGTGAATATTTGCTGGTTCTTTATGCCAGGCACCTGGGCTCTGCCTGAGGGTGGTCCTGGTAGAGACTTGGCTGCTGTCCTCAGAGCTCACAGGCCTGTAGGGGAGAAAGTCAGGTAAACAGAGATGCCAAAGGGATTGAAATGAGTGACAGAACACAGGTGAAAAGCAAAGCCTTGATGACAGGTTCACAGGAAGTTGTCATGGGAGAGGAGGAGGAGGGTGAAGTAAGGCATGAAGAGGTGTGCACATACACGGTGGTGCATCCACAAAGGTGAGCAGAGGCCAGGGCATGGCGGTCTGAGTACAGGTGAGCCCGGCAGAGTAGGAAGGTGCTAGATTAGAGGGCCTCCTCTCAGAGCCTCAGGAGGGTCTCAGAACTCCTTCACTGTCTCCAGTAGAATGGAGCCAGGGGCATGCCATCCCAGCAGCAGCTGGACCCTTTATAATCCCTGGCGAAGGTCAGCATGTGGGTTCCCAAAGGACTCACAGACACCAGAGTCCCACGACATCTCTGTGACCTGAGCATGATTCCCACTTTACAAATGAGGGGCTCAAGTTGGGGGCAAGATTCATAAAGGGACCTGGTGCCTGGTCAGCGTGGCTCAGTGGTTGAGCGCTGACCTATGAACAAGGAGGTCATGGTTTAATTCCCCATCAGGGCATATGCCTGGCTTGCAGGCTCAATCCCCAGTAGGGGGCATGCAGGAGGCAGCCAATCAGTGTTTCTTTTTCATCATTTCTATCTCTCCCTTCCTCTCTGAAATCAATAAAAAATATTTATATGTTTAAAAATTAAAAATAAAGGGACCTTGCTCTCTGGCCTGCTCCTGCCTAGCCCTGTGGGTCACACACTGGCCCCGCTGCTTCTCTCTGGAGTCAAGCCTGGGCTCCAATCAGGTGACAGCACTGAGTGATTCCCATGTGACAGGCACTGTGCTGGGGACATGGCAAGAAACAAGACAGGTGTGACCCCTGCCCCCGTGGAGCTGATGACCTCTCCCCAAAGCAGATATTCGTGCCGTCCTTCAGAAGAGCACTGTCCAATAGAACATTCTGTGATAATAGGAATGTCCAGAGCTGTCCATGTGGCTATGGAGTAACTTGAAATGTGGCTAGTGAGACTGAGAAACTGAATTTTTAAAAAATATATTTTTATTGATTTCAGAGATGAAGGGAGAGAGAGAGAAACAGAAACATCAATGATGAGAGAGAAGCATTGATCAGCTGCCTCCTGCATGCCCCACAGTGGGGATCAAGCCCACAACCCCGGCAATGTGCCCTGACCAGGAATCAAACCGGGACCTCCTGGTTTATAGTTGATGTTCAACCACTGTACCACGCCGGCTGGGCTTGAATTTTTTTTTAATATATATTTTTATTGATTTCAGAGAGGAAGGGAGGGAGAGAGAGATAGAAACCTCAATGGTGAGAGAGAATCATTGACCGGCTGCCTCCTACACACCCCCTACTGGGGGATTGAACCCACAACCCAGGCATGTGCCCTTAACCAAAATCGAACCCGGGACCCTTCAGTCCCTAGCCAGTGGTCGGCAAACTGCGGCTCACGAGCCACATGCTGCTCTTTGGCCCCTTCAGTGTGGCTCTTCCACAAAATACCACGTGCGGGCGCGCATGTACAGTGCGATTGAAACTTCGTGGCCCATGCGCAGAAGTCAGTATTTTGTGGAAGAGCCACACTCAAGGGGCCAAAGAGCTGCATGTGGCTTGCGAGCTGCAGTTTGCCGACCACTGCCCTAGGCCGATGCTCTACCACTGAGCCAAACCAGCTAGGGCTGGGGCTGAATTTTTTATTGTATTTTATTTTAATCAATTTAAATTTAAGTAGTTATGATTGGTGAGTGGCTAATGACGCTTTAAGACCTCAGAATAGGAATGGAAGACCAAAGAGCTCCCCAAGCTCCTGAGGTAGACTTCAGTTTGCATTTGACTTTTACTCCAACCAGCAGGCCAGTCTAGGGCAGTGCAGGACAGGCGCCTCTCCTCTGGGGCTCAGCTCCAGTACTCTCCCAGGTGCTGGCCACACCATATACAACGTGTACCGGTTAAAAATGGAGATTGAACCTTTACCGGTTAATAATGCGGATTTTGTAATCAAAGAAAACACAATAATTTCAAGAGAAACATCAAAAGTGCTTTATTCAAAGTAATGTCCATCGCTAGCTACACATTTCCCCCATCTTTCAGGTAATTTGTGGATACCGTCCCAATAGAACTTTTCTTGTTTTGAGGCAGACCATTCAGAGACCCAATTTTCCACTTTGGTGTGTTTTGAATTGCTGCTCAGAAAGTGTGTGTGCCATCGATCAGAACAAGTGGTCATCTGAAGGAGCAAGGTCTGGTGAATATGGCAGGGGGGTTAATACTTCTCAGGCAAGATCTTTTTATGTGTCTTTTACTGGTTTTGAAGGG